TTAGCCAAAAAGAGATAAAGATGGCAAATAAGCACATGAAAATATGTTCAACATCATTAGCTATTAGAGAAATGCAGTTAGAACAATGAGATCCACTATACCCCTATTAAGATGGCTAAAATAAAAAGTACTGACATTCCAAGTGCAGTAAGGATACAGTGTGACTGGAACTGTCATACAATGCTGGTGACAATGCAAAATGATATGGCTATTTCAGAAAATGGTTTGGCAGCTTCTTACCAAGTTAAATATCTAGCTACCATATGACCTCGCACTACTACTTCTGGGCATTTACTGTAGAGAAATGAGTGGATAAGCAAACTGTAGTACAGCAATAATATGGAATGAGGTACTGATATAGACAACAATATAGATGAGTCTCAAGGGCATTAATGTTGAGTAAAAGAAGGTAGTTTCAAAAGGTTACATATTGTTTCCATTTACCTGGCACTACCAAAAAGACAAAACTACAGTGTACTTCCTGTCCCCAAGGTTTTGCCTTTGTCATTAATTCATCTGGTTGTTATTTGCATGTTTGGTATAAGGAAGCTATCTACTTATATTTTCTTTGTCTTATGGGGACAACTAGGTGCCCCAGTCTCATTTATTGTACATTTTCCAGCACTGAATTTTTTTCTATTGAAATATATTTGACATATAACATTATGTAAGTTAAAGGTGTACAACACACTGATTTGTTATTTATATACTGTAATATGATTGCCATTGTAATGATAATTAGCATCTCTACCATGTCACATTATTTCTTTCTTATGGTTAGAATACCCATACTCATTTTAATGCCACACTTGTTTTTTCAATAAATGTATGGGTATGTTTTTGAGCTCTCTATTCTACCTCTGGGTCTTTTTATCTATCTCCACATCAGTACTATGCTGCCTCCACTGTTATAGTTGTAAAATATACCCTTACTATCTGGCACGGCAAGTAACCCTTTTCTCTTTCAAAATTGTTTACTTATTCTTAGATTTCTCTTCTAATTCAATCCAGATGGACCTCCAGGGGTGCCTGGGTGGCTCAGTCGGCTAAGCGTTGGACTCTTATTTCCCTCCAGGGGCACCTGGGTGGTAATTCTTGATTTCTGGCTCAGGTCATGATCTCAGGGTTATGAGATGGAGTCCTGCAGCAGGCTGGGGGTGAAGCCTGCTTAAGAGTCTTTCCTTCATCCTCTGCCCCTCTCCCTCTCTAAAAAAATAATTAAAACAACAACAGCAACAACAAAACCAAATGGACCTCCAGAGCACTCTAGTTCAGACTGCTAGATATTAATTTTAATTAATTCAAACTGTTGGTAGATTTCTGAACCCAAGGAATACTACCTTAAATTCTTTTGGTCAAGAGGACAAGTGTTATTCCCATTTCATCAATAAGGAAATAGACTCAGGGATCCCAAATGTAAGCAGCTGAATGACAGTACCAGGCAGCAAGGAAGGAGCCAAGCTAGTACCAGAAATAGAATTTCTGATCCTGAGTCTAGTGCTCTACTCAAACCAGGTGGATCCTCAGGACCGTTTGTTTTTAGCTATGTAAAAACCATCTGTCTCCCTGGGTGAAAAAACAAAGCAAATTCCCTGAACCTGCTTCACCAATGGGATTTCCAAGATATTAGAAAAACTGTGTATCAAGCCAGGAATAGAAAATAAATAAATAGAAAATAAATAGAAAAAAAGTAAATGAAGAAAAGATAAAAACCTCCAAATTCCAAATTATTTTCCCTTATGGTTAATAAAAACCTACCATCCATTTTAACTAGGCATCACAATTATAAAACCAATTAATGTTTACTGACAGGTTTTTTGAAATTACAATTAACATCCACTTTGAAAAAAACCTACTCTTAGACTGCATAATGAAATACTGTCAAAATGAACTATATTTAAAATTTGCTTTGTAACTACAAAAATATACCTATTCAGAAAAAGGAATTATAAACATCAGGTAATTGAAAGCATAATTTTGTTAACACTTCAGAAAGATAGTGACACAGAGTTTCTAAGAATCTGCATGTTCATTTCCTGTATGTGAAACAACAGAAAAGTTTAAAATATTTTATAACATGCATTTACTTTGCCACCTTTTCTGAAAATCATTGTTTTCTCCCCCTTTTTTGGCTAGTAAGTGGAGTGGCAAGAAGACTGTTTTCCAAACTCTCTAACGATTGTTAAATATTTAAAAATAGACTCCAGTAAAAAAAGGGAGTATTTTCCATTTATCTGCCTGTTTTTATAGTGCTTGTCATAACTGGTCATGGTGCACTTACATTATTTTCTATAGGTAGGCCCAAATTATAAGTGAAATTTTTCTAAAGTAGGTTTTCCCCTGCCTGCATTAGCCACACTCTCGCCCACTTTGCCACCCAAAGATATCGGCAGACTCCTGGCAGAGGATTCAGAACATTCTGCTGCTCATAAAAGAGAAACCACCACCCACTCAAGACAGCAACTGCCAGCTGTTTAGTTTTACATTTTGGTCAAGAAAAATTTAAAGAAATTCAAGTCACTCTTCTTTCTCTTTTACCCACAAATCCACTATCCCATAGCTGGACATACACAGAAATACTGTGACTACTGATACACCATGAATCTGTCTTTAAATATTAACAACCTAGTTTAGTTAAAAAATTTTATTGGACTGTTCAGGCAGGTGCCACAAATATTAATTAGTAGAGAATATTAACAGATACATATGGAGGGGCGCCGGGTGGCTCAGTCAGTTAAGCGTCTGTCTTTGGCACAGGTTGTGATCTCAGGGTCCTGGGATGGAGTCCCACATCGGGCTCCCTGCTCAGTGGGGAGTCTGCTTCTCCTACTCACCCTCCCTCTCTCTCTCTCAAACAAATAAATAAAATCTTTTTTTTTTTCTAAAAAAGACACATATGTAAAGAGAAAAATAAAAAGGCATAGTTATGGCTTTCTTAGAAACTTTAAAGAAATCATGAATATATTTAAATTACATATATAAATAAGCATCTTATACAGACAATATGTTACTGTATTTTAAAGCACAGAAAATTTTCACAATCTTTGAAAATGATGGAAACATTTGGAGCTTTATGAAGAAGCTTTACAAAGAAGATAAAATTTTAAAGGATTTTTTTTTTAAGATTTATTTATTTATTTGACAGAGAGACAGACAGCCAGAGACAGAACACAAGCAGGGGGAGTGGGAGAGAGAGAAGCAGACTCCTGCAGACCGGGGAGCCCGACTCGGGGCTCGATCCTAGGACCCTGGGATCATGACCTGAGCCGAAGGCAGACGCTTAACGACTGAGCCACCCAGGCGCCCCGAAGATAAAATTTTGAAGTTGGAAGGAACAGAATTTAAAAGGACACAGGAGAATTTTTTTTTTTTTACCTTAGAATTGTAGCTAAATATGAGTTGCATATACATATAGATTCAAACAGGTATGACAGGTCAAGGAACTAACCTAATCCAAACCAGTTATTTATAACCTATGGGCCACGGAATCATTGGTAGAGTTACATGGATATACACACACCAAGTATGATCTTTAGTCTAAAATATTTTTCTCATACATATAAATATTTCTCTATTTTTCATATAGACAGATGCTAGTATAATAAAATATAAAATCATTTAAAAGCACAGCAATTTTTTTCCATTATGCATAATCTCAATCAATGAATACTATAAGTACAATTACTTGTATGTTAGGGGTAGAGTTTCTCATATTCAAAACAGGTCAGGGGCCTTTAGCTAACATACAAGGCTCCTTCTGGCTCTAAAATTCTGTGATTTTAAGAGCACTAAGGACTCCTATTATGAATCTTTATAACTATTACATTATAAGTATCTATACAAATTTACAAATATATATATAAATGATGCCTGCTATGCCCCCAAGCACTGGACTAGCTTTTGTTACAAAGATGAACAAGCCAGGATTCCAGACTTAATCTCAAACTGACACAAGAGACAGATACATGAACAAATAATACAGCCTAAAAAAAAATACTGCAGAAGAATTATTTCAAGTGTTCTGGGAGCACGATGGTATCATTAATATCACCTGGGGGAGTCTGAGAAGACAAGGATCTATGAATTGGGTCTTGATAGGTGAGGAGTGGGGTAGAAAGAGTAAGCATTCTAGACAGATGGTACAACACATACAAAGGCATAGAGTTGTGAAAGTGCATGACATGTTTGGGCAGCAAGTTCTGGTATGGTTGGATATTAAGGTATTTGAAGGAAAAGCAAGAGGAGACTAAAATATAAAATGGACTGGAACAGATAGTTAAAGGTCCTGAATGATATGCTTACCAATTAAGACTTAATTCCATTAGGCATAGGGTTCTGAGAAAGTTTAAGGAAAGGAGTGATATAAACAGATTTTAGGATGATAACTCTATGGAAGAATGATGGTGGAGAAACTAGTGTGTGTGTGGGGGGGTTGGGCAACTGCAATTATTCTGGTGAAAGAAGGAATAATATAGAGCAGAGAGAGTGGAAATGCAGAATCAAGGATAAAGGTTTCCAATTGGGACAGGAGGGTGGATACCATTATCAGAGATGGGATACAGAAGAAAAGCAGGAAGAAAAACAGGAAAAGAGTAGTATTCCTTGGAAGGCAGTTTCAAGAAAGAGGGAATAGTTATATCCACGTAATATGCTGCAAAGCTGTAAGTTGAAAACCGAAAGGGTCCCTCTTCCCTCCTCTCAGTGGTAAGTTCCCAGGTGGGTTTAGGCAGGAAGAAAAGAGAAACGGAAGATGCGTCCAGACAAGGTTAGGGCAAGGATTCAAGAAACTTTCCGCACCCCAGACCCGGAAAGAGGAGCTCACAGCTGGGGCCCGGGAAAAGGAAGTACCGCTCCAAGAAGCGGGTAAGCAGCACAGGGAAACGGCTAGGGCTAGGCGGGCGGCCAGCAGTTCCAGAGATGCAAAGCACCACAGCGGCCCAGGGAAAGGAAACTTCCGACTCCCTACGCCCGCTCCTGTCCCTCGATTTATTTCCACTTACTCTGGTCTCAATCCCTCGCAGCCGTCAGTTGTGGCGTTAGGACTCAAGGCTTCTGCTAACAGGGGCCTATGCACCCAAGGGAAGAGACTCCTCTCGCCTGTTCAGCTTCTTCAGCGAGCAGACGCAGAACCCAGCAGAAACAGTCAGTAGAAGGGCGGCTGCAGGGGTCAGCAGAGCTCAGCCCCATCACTGGCCCGAGGAAAACCTCCACTGATCGTCTCGGACCAAAGCGCTCAGAGCGCTCAAGCCTCGCGAGATTTCCTGCCTCACGTTACCGTGGGGGGGGCAGAGCCGAGCGATTTATTTGCGGCTTCTCGCAGACATGCGCGAGAGGTGGGGCGGTTCCCTTCTACGTTCTTCCCCATCAGTCTACTCAGGCTTTTGCTTTCCTTCTCGCAAAGTGTCGCGAGTTTTGCTAGGGGAAGCCGACCGGGGTGGAGAGACCGAGAAGGGAAGGCCGGGTGGGAGGGCCTTGCGCTTAAGGGGCCGTGGCTCGTTTACCCGGTGCTGTGGTTGGTACTTCGCTGTTGGGGAGGCTCTGAGGTCGCCCGGATCAATCTTCCCAATGGGTTATTGGGAAAATTAGCGGGTAGAAAATCTTGAGGGTCGGAGGCATTTTTTCCTTGGCCCCGCCCTTTTCCCCGTTCTGAGAGCTGGGCGTCTGGCCCACCGAGGGGGAAGGGCAGTTGGCGGGGCTGAGGAAGAGGGCTTTGCGCACGCGCGTGTCCGAGTGTGTGAGTGTTTGTGTTTACGCGCACGCGCGCGCGCTCCTGCATTTAGGAAGCCTGGGAAGGACCGGTGTGCTAGGAGATGAGCGGGGAAAACATAGTCCCCTGTCTTTGGTACCAGGCACTCCTGACTGTGCGCTGACCCTCCCCACCCAGCCAGCAGCCTTTTCCAGAGAGGCTGTGGTCCATAGCCTCTGTTCGTTTTCACTGCAGGACCAGGCACGAAAGTAAGCGAACCTCGATCCTGAGGTCTTCCCTATCCACTCACCTTGTACTTTCCACCCCCACCCTCCAGCAGAGTGTGTTCAGGTTTCTCAAAGAGTTTGCATGAATGGGAAATGCGTTTGAAAGCAGAAGAAAATAGCTAGATCGTAAAAAGTCAGTTCGTGTTGATGAACACTTTTGCTCTGCTTACCATGTGCTTTTTGAATGTGGATTGTCTATTCAGTATAAGGTTTTACTAGCGAAGCAAGGGAGTTTTTATAAGAAAAAGTTTAAAAGTTTCTCCTCCCCAGCAATGTGAATGGTAGCAACTAAGTTTTTCTGTTCTACATGATAAATTACTGTGGTGTTACAAAAAGCTAAGGGGGAGAGTGTGAATTTGGGGTCCTATCTTAATTTGAAGACCCGATATGCAGTTGTCTTAGGAGATGTTTATTATATTCGGGGCTTTCCTTTTGCTGTCACTCCTCTTTTCCTGTTAATTCTGGCCCACCTCAACCTTTTTCAGAAGTCTTGAGACTTTGGAGGGAACTCCAAACTGCTGACTTGGGTTAGTTTGGGGGTTTATATGTGATTGATGTCAATTAGCAAGAATCATCAGAAGTGTATTTTAAAAGTATTTGTCATTTATTATGTTTGGTATTATGTAAGGGAATCAAGTACAATTATTTGTAAACATTTTTTTTCTGACAATTTTAAGTTCATTCAAAAAGCAAAAAATATATATGGACTGTAATTTTACCTGTGACTGATAGAGTGACAGCTTAATATGGTGTAGCTTATCCCTTCAATTGATAGTTACTTTCTGGTCATGACCTCATTAAATCTTGTCCTTTGTTGGATAAATTTCTTTGAATACTGATTATTCATGTTCTCTACCAAATCTTTTTGAGGAAAAGACATTAATTAGGGACAATTTAAGGGTATTAAATGTCATGTATGAGACATTTGGCTAATATATTTTATCCCTTACAGGTTAAAACAAAATGAAGATTTTTTCTGAATCTCATAAAACAGTATTTGTTGTAGATCACTGCCCTTACATGGCAGAATCATGCAGACAGCATGTCGAGTTTGATATGCTGGTGAAGAATAGGACCCAAGGAATCATCCCTTTGGCACCCATATCTAAATCATTGTGGACTTGTTCAGTAGAATCTTCCATGGAATATTGTAGAATAATGTATGATATATTTCCTTTCAAAAAGCTGGTGAGTGTGAAGTACAAGCAAAATCATGATTTTGGGGGATGGACTTAACTGCCTGTTATATTTTTTACATAAGAATTTACTGTAGATTTGACTTAAAACTGTTTACTACTTTAAAAATGTGGTATGTAGAACTCTTTTTGAGGATTAGCATGCTATGTATATTTAATTGAGGCCAACAATAATAAAGCTAACAGTTATGGAGCATTTACACGTGCCAGTCATTTCTAAAGTGCTTCATATTTATTAACTTTTTAAATTCTCACAACAATCCTATAAGGTAGCTACTGTAATCACTGGGACAATATTCAAAGTATATAATAACCAGAATAGAATTGAGAATAACCATTGAGAACTGTTGCCGGCCTAAGCAGAAGGGATGTTGGGTGTAAGCAGTGTCAAATTGTGTTGGTATGTATCATCTGAATATCACCTTTGTTTATTTTGCCATGTTGGAGATCTATAAATTGAGGTAAAGAGAAGAAACTTGTCCTGAGTCACACAGCTAGTTAGAGGCAGAACCAGCATTTGAACCTAAGCAGGCTGGCTGCTTATAGTTTTAGTGAATACACGCTAAACTGCTGCAGGATTTGGCCTTATTAGAAAGAAAAGCTCTTAAGAATGCTAAGTGGAAATTGTTTTTTCCCCAAGAAGAGAGATTGAGGATTGACAGATTCCAAATATGAAAATTATCTTCAGGTTTCATCATCTCAGCTGTTTTATTTTGGGAGTCATTTGGTTAGCCACAAGTGGATGATCTGCTTTGTTTCTTTTGGAGCAGCCTAGGCTGGGACCTAGCCAGTTCTTAGACTAGCACAGGCAGGGCAGTAACAGTAAGGCTGAACATGGAGAATCTAATACATTCAGATATAATCCAAATTAAAATGTAGTTGTTTTTAGTCCCTCTGTAAATTGTGCATGATGTAGGGTAAAGGAACATGAAGGGGGAGGATAAGTAGTAATTTAGGATGCAGGCTTTGGTTCAGATTCTGGCATCATTAGCTACCAGAGTGTGACCTTGATCATATTGCTTAATTTCTCCAAGCCTCAGTTTCCTCCCATGTAAGCATAACACCTCTTTCTATGATGTAAGATTTCAATGAGATAATATAACTAAAGTGGCTAGTAGAATATGTCCCTGTCAGAGAAGCCTTAGGAGAGAAGACTACTTAATCAGATTTATTAGGGATGCACAACTCATATTTCATGGATAGTAGGAAAAAAGATCATGGATTAGATCATATAGTGCAGGGGAAAGAAATAATCTCACCCTCCTTCAAAAGGGAGCGATCATCATTTTATATATTTTCTAATATATCCTTCCTAACATTATCATCTTTCTCAATAATATTTTTTGGTTGCATTTTACTTTAGAATAAAGTCCAAATGCACTATTTTGACTTTCAGTGCCTTTTGTGATAGGCTACTACCTATTTCTCTGAGCTTATCTCCCACCCCTTTGCCTGCTCTGACCTTTTCAACTTTTTGAGGGTACACATTTAGAGGCCTTTGCATTTGCTGTTTGCTGTACCAGGAATTCTCTATCCCCAGCTCCATTTATGGCTGGTTTCTTTTGGTCATTTGGATTCCAATCAACTTCCAGTTCTATAGAGAGCCCTTCTCTGACCATCCAACCTAAAGCAGCTAACCAGTTTCGTTTTCATAGCATTTATCACTCACTGAAATTATCTTGTGCATTTATTTGTTTGTATTCTTTCTGTACTGCCCTCTATCTTACCACTACCCCCAAACCCCTGACTTTCCCCACATTGTGAGTAATACAACTTTTATTCATTGCTGTATTCCCAAATCCCCAGTGCCAAGGATGGCACCTGGCATATACTAGGCATTCTGTAACTTTAAAGTGAATGAATGAATCAGCAAGCCAGTGCTAGAGACTGCATATTATTTTTAAAATATGATGTGGTTGAGTGGAATTGGATGTGAATACTAATTATGTCTTTGAAATCTATCAGGTGAATTTCATTGTGAGTGACTCTGGAGCACATGTTTTAAATTCTTGGACTCAAGAAGACCAAAATTTGCAGGAGGTATGGTTAGGTTTTCAGCTGTGGCCATTTTTGAAAATTACCTGAATGTGGTAATAATTTCTTGAAAAATGATTTAAAAAATTTTTTATCAGTATAGTATTTGCACATAGTTTTAAAACAACTAATGCTAAAGGAAAAACAGCTATCTTCATTCCAGTGTTTTCTCACTTCATAGAAGCAAACTTTCAACTCTAGCTCATCTAGTATGTACTTCCATATTTCTAAATAACAGTTTTTGCTGCTATTGATAGAGTTCTCAATTTAAGCTTTATTTTTTATCATTATTGTTAATGAAGATTTAACTTTTATCTTTCCTGCCACCATGCCCTTATGCCTGCCCTCTTCCCTTCCCTCATTTTCTCAGTGTTGTTACATCAGAATTTTTGTTAATTTAAAATTATGATATCTATATAAAGTGTTATTCACTGCTAAGCTAAGTAGTATATGTGGTTATTTCCTTTCTCTTTTTTTTTTTTTAGGTTTTATTGAGATATCATTGACTTACAGCACTGTATAAGTTTAAGGTGTACAACATAATGATTTGACTTACATATTTTGTCCTTTTTTGTGTGACTTTTTTTTTCCTGCAATTTATCATTTCCTTTTTTGCTTAATTTGCTTAATTTTATGTGTATTTGTTGCTGCATTTCCTCATGTCTCTACAAAACTTTCAATATTTTTATCATAAATGTATGAGAAATTTAGCATCTTGTTTTTTTTCTTGAAAAACTTCTTGGAGCACAGTCTTTTCCTCTAGTTTGTACTAGGCCTGGTGCTTTTTAAAAATTATTTGTCTAAGGATATTGAGATTTGTGATAGATTATATTCTTTGTTGTTGCTGAGTTGGATGGAAGACTTCAGTTTACTGGGTTCTTTATGGATGAATATGAGAGTCAGGCATTAGTGAGATATTTGAATACATTTTTTTGAATGATTTCATGTTAAAATTTTTTTGTTAATGGATATCCTTCAGTGGAAGTAATCTCATCTAGATGTGTTGTAAATGGAACATTTTAAAAGAAAATGTGTTTATCACTGTATTTGGTCTTAAAATGTTGTGATTAGTGTTATAATATGTAAACATATCTAATCTTTTAGTCTTTTGAGGTAACTCACTCGAGCAGTAGGCTTTTATTGGTTTGGCTTTGCATTAATATTACTCCAGAGTATTCTTTATTCTTTATTTACTTTAAAAAATAATGTTAAGGATTCTGTGTATTCTCTCTGCATTGTCTTTTTTGAAAGGGCATGTATTTTGCTTTATGTCTTTTAAGAGGTACTATGAAGGAAGCTTGAAGCCTCTCTAGTTGTGTATGAATAAAAATGAGTACAAATTTGTATAGGTTTTCCTTACTTCACCTCTGCAGTGCAGTAAAATTTGGCATTTGATAATGGTACGTATGCTAATGATAAGAGAATTGCTACTTCCCTCTGCTTTCTCAATGTGAAGGCATACTGTATCATGCTGATTGCTTTTAAATTGTGAACAGAAGGGGAAACTAGTTAGGAAGACAACTATATACCAGATCACTGTGTTTAAGATTATATAAAATCATTGACATTTTGTGTAAGTTATGTATAATCTTGTTTGGGTTAACACATTTAATGTTTAGCTTTGGTTATCCATGTCACACCTTTCCCTAGTTACTGTGAACAATCATGAGTAACAAGTGAAGTAGATTGAAGACGAATTTTGGGGCTAGAAGGGTTGTAAACATCCTTGCTTCGACTCCTTCGATGTGCAGATGAAGGAACAGAGGCCCACAGGAGCCAGAGGTTGTTTGACTTATATACCTGGGTCCAGGGCTCTTTCTGTTATAGCACATAACTCTATTCTATGCATTTTAAATTTTATCTCCAAAAATTGTTGGAGTTCAGAAGTTTGGGTCTGGTTTTTGTAGGCTCAAATATAGTTTGAAAGTATTGCACTAATGTGGGACAGGTTAGATTATTTTCACTTTCAGGTTAGGAGAGATTGACCAGGGTTACACAGTATTAAGAGGCATAGCCAGAATTTCATTCCTTCTCTGTCTGACTCCAAAAGTTAAGCTTGCTTTCTGCTACTTTCCGCAGGACCACAACATCCCTAAAAACTTTTATTGAGTTTCTCCTATGTACCAGGGACTTCGTATAGTCATCTATACAGTCTTTTTTTTCTTTCTTTTCTGATTACTTTTTATGAATAGGTAATACCTGTATGTTTAGAAATTAAGTTTACATATATACATACACATGTACTTATGTACACTTATACATATGTGTATGTGAGGTAAAAGGTAAACCTTGAAAACTTTCTAGTTCATCCCCTGACCCAATTAGTGATGTGCTAGACCCCACTTATACCAACTTGGGAGAGATGAATATGTTCAACTCCTATCAACTTTGTGTTCAGTGAAGCTTGAAATCTGCCATGGTGGGAGTATTTTATTTAACCATAGATATTGGCAAACACAAATTAGGGATTCCCCCCCACCCCTGACTTTGGAGAGCTGATTTACCAGCAAATCACTGTTTATCCCCACCACTATTAGTTTTTTATGGCTCATTCCAGAGTGTCTTTATGCATATACAAAGCAAAGTGCTTCCAGTTTGTTCTCTTTCAAGATTGTTTTGGCTCTTCTCTGACCCTTGCAATTCCATATGAATTTTAGAATCACCTTGTCAGTTTCTACAGAGAAATCAGTTGGGATTCCGACATGGATTAAGTTTAATCTACAGTTCAGTTTGAGTAATGTTACCATTTTAACAATATTAAGTCTTCCAACCCATGAACATGGGATGTTTTACATTCATTTAGATCTTTAATTTCTTTCAACAATGTTTTTTAGTTCTCAGGTTGAAAAATTTGCATTTCTCTTTTGATTTTATTCTTTTTGGTGCTATTGTAAGTGGAATTGTTTTCATTTTCGGCTTGTTCATTGCAAGTGTGTAGCAGTACAATTTGTTATTTTGTATTACGTATCCTGCAAATTGCTGAACTTGCTTATCATTTCTAATAGCTTTTTAGTGGATTCCTTATGATTTTCTACATACAAGATCACATGGGGCACCTGGGTAGCTCAGTTGGTTAAGCATCTGCCTTTAGTCCAGGTCATGATCCCAGAGTCCTGGGATCGAGCCCTGCATCGGGCTCCAGCCCTGCATCAGGCTCCCTGCTCTGCTGCAGGGTACCTGCTTCTGCAGCTCCCCCTACTTGTGCTCACTCTCTCTCTCTCCCTCTCTCTTTCAAGTAAATAAAAATATCAAAACAAAAACAAAAACAAAACACCGAGAAACTTAAAAAAAAAAAAGATCATGTCATCTGCAACATAGAGATAATTTTACTTCTTCCTTTCCAATCTGGATTCCTTTTATTTCTTTTTCTTAATTGCTCTGGCTAGGATCTCCAGTATAATGTGGAATAGAAGTGATGAGAGAGGACATCCTTCTTCTGTTCCTGATCTTAGAGGGAACATGTCCAGTCTTCACTATTAAGCATGCTGTCATCTGTAGGTTTTTCATAGGTGCCATTTTCTGCTTGAGGAAGTTCCCTTCTATATCTAGTTTGTTAAGTGTTTTTATCATGAAAGGTCTTGGATTTCATGAAATGCTTTTTCTGTGTTTATGAAGATGATCATGTGATTTTTGAAAAATTCTGTTGGTATTTACGTTGATTTTCAGATGTTAAGTCAACTTCGCGTTCCTGGGATATAAGTCCCACTTTGTCATGGTGTATAATTCTTCTTATATGTTGCTGGATTTGGTTTGCTAGTATTTCGTTGGGGATATTTGTGTCCATATTTGTGAGATATACTGGCTGTAGTTTTCTTGTGATGTCTTTGTCTGACTTGTGCATACTCTTGTCAACATAATTATTTTCTCTTTTACTTTAGCTAATGGCAGCATTAGCTGCTGTTGGGCCTCCTAATCCACGAGCAGATCCAGAATGCTGCAGCATTTTGCATGGTCTCGTTGCAGCAGTGGAAACCCTGTGTAAAATTACAGAATACCAACATGAGGCTCGTACTCTACTAATGGAAAATGCAGAACGTGTTGGTAATAGAGGACGAATAATTTGCATTACTAATGCAAAAAGGTGAGACGTTAATCACAGTAATTCTTTCACTGAGGGAATTTTAATGTCTTATTACAATTTTTATTTTAAAAAACAGGGACAGCATCTTAGCATTTAAGCATATCTCAAGTAGCCTTTCTAATACTGAAGCCATATTTATCCAGTTCTAAAATAAAGACTCATTTCAGTGAAAGCTGTTTAGATTGTCATCATATAGGTTAATTTGACTTTTTTCTCATTTAGTTTTTCAGCTGATTCTTTGGTATTGTGAGTGAACATGCTAAAGACAGTCCTTACTGAAGTAATTTTAAGTGCCTATAAAAAGATACTACAGCTGAATAGTGTATTTAGTTTTTTTTACTGTTTATTCAAGTTTGTTCTTTATGCCGTAGTGATAGTCATGTGCGTATGCTTGAGGACTGTGTCCAGGAAACAATTCATGAGCATAACAAGCTTGCTGCAAATTCAGATCAGTGAGTATAATCATAAGTGAAATAAATATTCCATTTTATAGTCATGTATTTCATGATAATTATTCCAATAATTATAATAGTAATGGGTGGCATTCCCTTGAATTTTCCACTGGTTCTACAGAGTAGCCAAAAACTGTATGTTTGATCAGAAAACTTTTCCATTTTCTCTTTCACTTTAAAATTTTACTTTTTTTTGACAGGAAAGGTGATCAGAAGGATAAAATAATACTATACGTTTATAAAACATATTTGTTTTGATGGCTTGCTCTCATACTTTGTGTTACAAATTTGTAAAATGAACACATTATTTGTAGCATTATTTAATATGTATCAAATCAAAACATAACAATTGCATTGTATGAATTTTTTTTGGAAGAATAAAGCTGGGGCGCCTGGGTGGCTCAGTTTGTTGAGTGTCCGATTCTTGATTTTGGCTCGGGTCATGATCTCAGGGTCGTGAGATCAAGCCCTGTGTTGGTCTTGGCTCTGAGCATGGAGCCTGCTTAGGGTTCGGGGTTCTCTTTCTCCCTCTGCTCCTTCCCCCACCCCCATCCACTCAAAAATAAATAAATAAAGCTATTAAAGACAAGGTTAGGACAGTTGCAATGTGGAGTTTATATTAGATTGAGCTCTTACTAATTTTTTTAAGTGGAGTACTAGTATTGTTAATGAGTAGGATTATTTTCAATTATTACCTGATTTTGTCCTTAAAAATCATTAAGTAAGAAATGATTCCAGTTCTCATGTGGGTGATCTTTTGTTTATCTCCACAGAGGTGATTAGTTTGGGGAACAAATAAAGCACTCAGAATAAAAAAAATAAATAAAAATAAAAAATCATTAGTAAAAGGGAAACCAATATACAATATATTCATTGTCTCTGTGGCAGATATCTGTTGAAAATTATTCCCGATTATAAGATTTTCCTTTATTTTTCAAACACACAAAAAAGTATCATTTTTGCATTTGAACTAAATTCATATATTCATTAAATGTTCATACTAGTACAGCAGTTATACAGTTTTTCTAAATATTTAGCTTTTGTGTTAACAGTAATATCTGATTATAGAGATACACTGTTTTGGTATATTAAACTTTTAATAGTTTACCTACCTGGATTCTTTTTTTTTTTTTAAAGATTTTATTTATTTATATGACAGAGAGAGACAGTGAGAACAGGAACACAAGCAGGGGGAGTGGGAGAGGGAGAAGCAGGCTTCCCGCTGAGCAGGGAGCCTGATGTGGGACTCGATCCCAGGACCCTGGGATCATGACCTGAGCCGAAGGCAGACGCTTAACGACTGAGCCACCCAGGCGCCCTACCTACCTGGATTCTTTAAATACAATGTATTCCTATATTCTAAGTAAAAAGTTTCTCTTTAAGTCTCATGCAGATTCAGAAGTGTGAGCTGGTCTTGATCCATACTTACGCAGTTGGTGAAGACAGCCTTGTATCTGATCGTCCTAAAAAGGAGGTAAGTGCAGAAGTAATGGAAGGAAAGATCACTGTTATTTATTAATAATATGCGCTAAGAAGGGTTAGCATAAAAATGATCACATTGCCAACATTTTCTGCCAAGAAGATGTTTAGAGTTTTCAAAGCAATCTCTCTGGCAAAACACCTAGGTTGATTCTTTATGTTATAATTGTAGATGTTAAAATGTTTTCTGTTTTGCTTGCCTGTTGAAGTTTAATTAAATGTGTTGCAAAACCATACATAGTCTGTATTGTTCCTAAAATTTCAATTACTGTAATGGATTTCAGTTGCTTTAATGACTTTTTATTGTATAAAAATCTTTTTTTCATCATTAGAAAGACAATACACTTTTTAACAAAAATTTAGACTCCAATAACAAATTAATTTTACCTACCCAGAGGATAAAAGCCTAAAACTAATTTCTAATCTTGGTTTTACTTTTTAAATAAATTCGAGGGGCGCCTGGTGGCTCAGTCGATAAGCGTCTGCGTTCAGCTCAGGTCATGATCCCAGGGTCCTGGGATTGAGCCCCGCATCGGGCTCCCTGCTCCGCGGGAAGCCTGCTTCTCCCTCTCCCTCTTGCCGCTCCCCCTGCTTGTACTCTCTCTCTCTGTCATATAAATAAATAAAATCTTTAAAAAAATAAAAAATAAAAAAATAAATTCGGATAGTTTTAAAGGAAAAGATGAGTCTGTTGACTTTTAAATGGATTTGCATAACAATATTCTTCATTAGTGGTGTGTTTAAAAATATAGATGTATGTATTTATATAATTATATTAAATGTGTATGTTCTTATGTTCTGGTTTTTTCATTTAGCCTTAGTTCATATAAACATGTGAAGTATTACCTTAGTCTGAGTGTTTTATAGTTAAGTGGTGTTTTTAGGTCATTAGCTCTGTCATTGTTTTTAAGTGGTTTCCAGTGTAAGCCCTTTTTTTGGTTAACTTTTTTCTGCCTCTTTTGATAATGTGGCTGCATGTTGGCTTTATTTTGTGATAACTAAAAATTTATTTAAACCAAATATTATACCCTGGACTGAGTGAAGGTTTATGTTATCTTGTTGTAAGTAACTTTTGGCTGCCTAATCACATTTATTGGTGACGCAATATGATGTTTGTGGCAATTTCCACATTCTTATTATAAGTAGTTTTATCTACGGGAGTTTTTCCTCTCCACAAAATTAATAATTTTTCTACAGTATTTCTCTGGGCCATTTCAGATCCATTTTGCATATAGATAAATAGGAGTAAAAATTATAAATTAAATATTTAAAGACTATTCCACTCTTGAGTTTCAAGAGGACAAAGACTTTGCCTATTTATTGCTGTATCTTCTAATAGCTCACATAGTTTCTGGCACATAATATAGTAAGTTCTTAAAATGTATCTGTTGAGTGAATGAGTGTATGAAAATTTTTTGCTAAAATAACGATCATAGTTAATTTATGGGCTTTTTTATTTTTTCTAAATTCTAAAAAGTAAAAACATTTTATTTCAATCTATAAACATTTTGGCACTAGGTCACACTATGTTAATGTTTTATGGGTTTTTTTAATACTTTTTTGTAGTTATCTCCTGTTTTAACCAGTGAAGTTCATAGTGTTCGTGCAGGACGGCATCTTGCTACCAAATTAAATATTTTAGTACAGCAACATTTTGACTTGGCTTCAACTACTATTACAAATATTCCAATGAAGGTAGGCAGCTCTTTTTCTTGCTATTTTGAAAGCTCTGCTTTGCTTTTTAAATATTTGTTTGACATGTATTATTTATTTTAATTGAACCTTAACTTTTTTTCCCCATATCATATTTTCTGTTTTGCTAGCCCACATTCAGTGTCTTTGACCAGGTCAGTACATAGTGAAAAGCAACAAGAAAGGATCACAGAACAAAATTCTGTATTTTTCTTTTTAGTAAAAGCACTGTATATCAGCTTTTTTGTTTTTTCCTATGTTCTCATTATTTTCATCAAAATATAATCTATATCTTAAATGATTACTTTTTCTGTGATTCTTTTCCTGACAATTATGTTAGTAGATTTTACTTTGCATCCTAGTGGATTTTTTATTTCCTATATTTTTGTTCTTTCTCATCTAGTATGAAGGTGTTTGTAACAAATAGGTCTGACAGGTAAACCTAGCTCATAGTTTTAAAAAGTTTATTATATTCTAGCTGAAAAACCGAAGATATAAGTCATATGATTTTACTAATGGATTTCCTTAGGAATCTGTTGGTATCTGTTCATTTCCATTATTTTATCATTTAGTTGCCTAGGACCAGCACAATGCCTGGCCCATAATAAGCTTCATGTTAATTTTTACTGAGTGGAGTTGAATTTAATTTTATTGGTTATGTTTGCAAATATGAAGTAGTCACCATATCTAAAAATTCAAATTGGCTTTAAATCCAGTTTCATTGTTTTGCCACCACATGATGAACACTAAATTTCATGAGAAATATGATCTGTTCATTATTAATTTCCTCCTATGCCAATGGCTGGCTCTTTAATAGAAATTGTAGCCTTATCTAATAGAATGGTTTGGATGCAGAAGCAATTATCAAGTAAATTAGCATAATATATTTTAATATATGTAATTTCATGAACTAGAAGAAAAATACTCTGAGGGTGACAGATACCTTGCTTTTTAAATTTGACCATATTTGTGTGCGACTGGTGTGACTCTTCAGTCTTTGTCTTTTTCTTGTAAATAGATAATATCGAAGTTCTTATTTAATAATTAGTGAAAACAAGTTACTAAACTTGTTTCTTAGTCTGTATTTTCTATTTTATATAACTGGTGTTTGCTAATTTCCTATAGGTATTTAAAGATGCTATTTCCTCCTTTAAACAACTATTTCACTTTTAATTTGTATAAACTATTTCAATTACATAATATGTATAAAATGTTTTGGCAAGACTGCATTTGGAGTAAAAAATCTAAAGTTCTGGAAGAGTCATTTATGTTAATTCTAATGTAATGTAAGAAAAATCATTAAATACTTTATTATTTACATATAGCTAGTAGTTTTTAAATAGAGTTCATATTGCCTTGGAAAACGATTGCATCTTTAAATAGATTAATTACTGAGCAAACTGTCCCATTATAGCTAATTTTTGTTGGGTATATTTTACCTCACTTTAAGCAAAAGCAAAACGAATAATTAATAACTTAATTATTTTGAAAATAAAACCAAGTTATTTTAAATTTTGCTTTAAGGAAGAACAACATGCTAATACATCTGCCAATTATGATGTGGAGCTGCTTCATCACAAAGATGCACATGTGGATTTCCTGAAAAGTGGTAAGAGATGTTGGAAACTAATATTTTGTAAGATCTAATATATGAAAGCATATTAACAACTTTGAGAAGTTTGTCAGTAAACAAACCTGATGGACAGTAGTTCATTTTTTTCCAAACTTGTTCCACAGTATTATCTATTAATGACCACGGAACTAATGTTCTGTAGAATTTTCCTCTGGGAAAACTAGGCTACTGGAACAAATACTGAGAAAGATCGCCATGATGGTCATGTCATAGTTTCTCTTTTGCAAGCAAACTACTTTGGGAAAGCAAAAAAACAAGAACTGACTTGAAAAAGTGATAGACTCCCAGCTTGCCTGCATAAAAACCGGTTGTTTTGAAATTTAAATTCGTTTTCTTGCCTCTAAAAATTATTTGAGTCAGTAGGTCTCATCACCAAAATCATAATTTCTGTAACTGTATCAGCATGGTTTGGAGGAGAAGACTCTGGAGATAATAGGTAAAAGTTTTAGCTAAATCTTTGCCACCAGCTAACAAGACCCATGTTTCTAGACTTGAGTTTGCACACTTCACTGAATTAAAGATGCTGATTAGATGAACTGTAATATTCCATCCATTCCTAAAATTCAGTGACATTGCCTTTAAGTTTTGACATTTGGTTAAATCCTTTAGAATGTTTTCTATGTAAGTCGATGCTATCAGAGAATTAAATGGTTGACTTTGATCATGTTGTATGCATCTTTTCTGAAGTTAATACTATTTCAACTAGTCATAACATTTGTTACATGTATAAGAAATCTTGAAATTAACCTAATACAGATTTCTAACACGAGAAAAACTATTAAGATAAATGGATATATTAATATTTAACAAAGGAATGTAAAGAACTTGTTTTTAAAAATATAGTATGTAGAAATTATTAAAAATCTGTGAGGTATTATCAGCTTTTGAAATATATATTTTTAAAACAAAAAATGTTAAGAGTGTTCTTTGTAACACAAAATAATTCTCTGAGATAGTTATTGACTGACCTGTTGTATATGTGACACATGGACACCATGTGTAAAAATGCTAGAGTGGCAGTAGGAACAGGGTGCTGTGGGAACACAGCGATTGCATGTGATTATGCCTCCATGAGTTAGGCAAGCTTTCCAGAGATGACATTAGAGCTGGATTTTGATGACTAAGCTTACACTTTAGCCCACATACCTTACCTGAGCTCTACTGCCTAATTTTATCTATTAGATGTCTCTCAGGCACCTAAAACTCAACATTCCCCAAACAACTAAGGAGCTCTGCCCCTTGAAGTGGTCATTGTGGTCTTTTTTTTTTTTCTCTTTCTTTCTTAAAATTTATTTATTTACTTAAGAGAGAGTGAGTGAGAGAGCATGAGTGGGGGGGAAGCCCTGAGGGAGAGGGAGAAGCAGACTCCCTGCTGAGCTCAATCCCAGGACCTGAGATCATGACCTGAACCACAGGCAGATGCTTAACCTACTGAGCCAGCTAGGTGCCCCTTGGTCTTCTAATGTTCCCTCTCTCAGTGAATGACCCTACTGTCTGCTCAGCTGTTTAAGGCAGAAACCTCAGTCATTGTTGAGACATCTGACATTGTTCATGTCTAGTCCATCATCACATTTTCTTGATTTTATCTACTAAGTATCTCTAAAATACATTCATATAACTGCATCTCTACTACCAGCCTATTATTTTCTTACCTAGTATCCCATAGTAACCCCCTAAATGGTCTGTTTACTCTTGACCTGCTAGCTAGAATAGCTTTCAGAATGCTAATCCTGACCCTGTTCTCCTCAGCTTACAATCTTTTATTGCTTTTCTGTTATCCTTAGGATAAAGACCCAACTGTTTAAATGTCTTACCAGGCCCTGCATTGCCTGGTCCGTCCTCCTTTCCATTCTCTTCTCACAACGTACTTCTCTATTTCAACCATGCAGACCTGAAACTCTTCATTCTCCTTCCTATCACAGTATCTTGGTATCTGCTGTTCTTCTTTCTTGCTCAAATACTCTTCATTTCCTTCAATTTCCTTCATTTCTTTGTTAATTTCTTTTTTTTTTTTAAAGATTTTTTTTTTTTAATTTATTTATTAGAGAGAGAGAGAGTGAGAGAGAGAGTGCAAGAGGGGGAAGGGTTAGAGGGAGAAGCAGACTCCCCGCTGAGCAGGGAGCCCGATGTGGGACTCGATCCCGGGACTCCGGGATCATGACCTGAGCCGAAGGCAGTC